TCAAAAAGCAGAATATCAAACATAAACAGACTTCCCCTGTGTTTCAATACAGTTTCAGCATCCTTAATTGGATATAGCCGACGTTAAGTGAATGGACGCCATATTGAGAAATCTTCTCACTTACTACTGCATGCATCATCCCAGGGCTGATGTTGATCGTCTGTATGTGCCCAGATCCGAAGGAAGCAGAAGATTTGTTCAACTAGAACTATTTACAACAATTGGCCTTCAAAGATACCTGGAAACGACAGAAGACTGGATGATGATATGCATCAACGAACATAAAAGTAGTAAGCGACTTTATTCCGTAATAAAAGAAGTCAACAATTTCAAACGGGTGTGGAAATACAAGTAAAGCACAAACACCAATTGAAGCTGAAAAATACTTCATAAAGAAAGCAAAAGCAAATGCAATCGATCAGATACAAAATCTGTGATAAACATCCAGAAACAATTGATCATCTTGTATCAGATTGCACGGTATTGGCACCCACCGAATGTAAAATCCAGTATGACAGGGTGGGCCGATATCTGCACTGGAAAATCTGCAACTTCTACGGAAAGGAAGCTGAAAGAAATTGGTATGAACACCACCCAGATCCCGTTAAAGAGATGGGACCTGTTACAATTTTATGGGACTACACAATACACACAAACAGAAAATCAAAGCTAACCGCCCAGACATTGTTATTAGAGATCGCATGATACGCTGACTGCAGCTGCAAAATACTTAAAAAAGAAAGTAAAATCAAATCAACCAACCAGATACAGAAACGATAGAAATATAAGCCTTTTCACGGTCAATATTCTGCCCGTAACAAACAGGCTGATGTAGATAAACCCCATATACATCAGTGGCTACGTAGTGCAGGGTTAAATGCTGAAAACGAGGTTTGTATTCTTGCTGCACAGAACTAATGCTTGCTAACAAGAAATTACCAAGCACACATTCAGAAAAATTAACTTAGCTTAAAATGTAAATTCTGTGATAAATATCCAGAAACAACTGAGCATCTTGTATCAGGTTGCACGTATTGGCACCCACTGAATATAAATCCAGGTATGACAGCGTTGGATAATATTTGCATTGGAAAATCTGCAACTTTTACAGAAAGGAAACTGTAAGAAATTGGTATGGACACTACGCAGACCCGGTTACGGAGATAGGACCTGTAACAATTTTATCGAACTTTACAATACACACAGATAGAACATCGTGATTAGAGACCGAAAAGACAAAATATGCCTTCTTATTGACATGGGAGTCCTTGCAGACTGAAATGTATCTTTGAAGAACTTCAAAAACTATGAAAATACAAGGACCTTGAAAACGAAATGTCAAAAATGTGGCATATGAGGACATCAACAATTCCAATTGTAGATGGAGTCCTTGGATAGATTGGAAAAGGTTCCGATAGACACATTGAAGGGATTCCTGATAGCCAATGCCTTAAAGAAATACAAACATTTTATTCACAAGTTCAGTCCATGCATGACGAAGGGCTTTTATCTCTGTAAAATACATATGATCTTATGTTTCTTTCTCTTGACAAATGCTTAATGGAAAATATCACGATGCTATCTCTGACTTTAAGTCTCTGGTTAGGACCCAGAAGGAAATGAGTATACACACCAGAAATCAAAGGAAATAATAATAATAATAATAATAATAATAATAATAATAATAACAACAACTAATTGTGGCACCATGCATACCTGACGAGCTGAGAGAAATATTCATAGATATATGATTTTTTTTTTTTTACGGTTTATCAACCATTTAATAATTATTTGGGGCCAAAGGAATGTTTTGGGTTTTAAGAATAATTCTTTCTTTACATTCAAGCGATCTGGAAGAAAGAATGAGAAAACGAAGAAGAAAGAAAGAAAACATAATACGAAAACAGGTCATAGGCGAGCACACACACGCACGGCTGACAGATACAGGTGTCGAAAAATATCAGGTCAAGCACCTGACCTACTTCCGTGTCCACGAAAAATGGAAGTTTGTTATCGGTTGGATGTCACCCAAGGGAAAAGAAAGAAAGGGGAAGAAGAAGAAAAAAAAAAAAAACTCGAACGAAATTTTTTTTTATTTCGATAAGTGACTAAAATAGAGATAATGGAATTGTGTCGTCAAGAAATGTTCGCCAAAGTAAAGTCCGTTTGAAAACGCTAATGTTTTGACAAAACACAGGTGTGGCTGCAGAACCGTGGTTGGATATGAAAACACAGGCCACACAGGCATTCTCACCGACCTGATTCTCTGCGATAATAGAGATTTTTATTATCAGACCTTCGAGCGGAGGGGAAATAAAATATTTTTATTCCGCTTCAGAAAACGGCAACTAGTCTGAGAAATTCCTTTCTTAGATCATATCCAATTAGCGATAAACTGCTTGACAATTACCACGTGTTAAAAAGCCGAGAGCGTCATCTCGGTCGCTCATGATAAGGGCGGTTTAATTAATATTTTTGTTTTTTTTAGCAAGGTAATCCTTCCCAAAACAAAGCCACGGATTGTCCACGCCCGACTAGGACGTCATTGGCTAAATAAATCACATGACATACGAAGGAGGAGGAAAGATACATGACCAGGAACTCCTTGGCCGAGAGCGGTCACGTGACGCACGAGGAGAATCAGTCGACACCCCTATCAGAAGTGTAAGTGCGAGGAGCCGATACGAAGAAGCGGGGAAGTTGGTACACGCCCCTCAGAAGCATGGTGAGAAAGTGGGAGTGAGGAAAGATTTACCAAAAATGGAAAAGAGTGGGAAATCTCTAACCAGAAATAAGAAGGGTGGATATGTATTTAGAATTATGGAAGAATCCCCGACGCCAAACAGACCCACCCCAGTTTTGACGGCGTCAATAAAAAACGAGACCCCAACCGACAGAATTCAGAGCAGCCGCGGACGGCAAGCGGATTGGAACCGCGGACGGCGTAAATGAGTGACCATCAGAGCAGCCGCGGACGGCAAGCGGATTGGAACCGCGGACGGCGGAGATGAGTGACCAGGAGTTCAGTTTGTGCGATCCAAGTCGGAGAGAAGAAGTCAGATTGAGCTGCGGACACTGGCGAGAAGTTTTGAGCTTGGACGACAAGCAGAGATGAGCGCCCAGTGTTGAAACCGCATCAGATAGCTGACCAAGATTCACGCACACTTTTGGACTCTTCTTCAACCAAGAACAAGTAGTTTGAAGAGCGACTTAGAATCAAGACCACAGAAGTAGGTTTTTTTTTCGACTTTCGTCCAAAGACACACCGAAACACAAATCTCTTAGAGAGCAGACAACTTGAAGCCTTAAAGTTGCCTAGTAAAAGCGTCGTGCCACAATCCACAGAACGGGTCGGGAAGTAGACATAGTCCTATGTCCCGAGCAAATAGACATAAAAAGTTTGTTACCTTTTTCTTTGATACGTTGGACGTTGTGAGTTTTTATTTTATTTTCTTTTATACATAATTGTGTGTTATCACCCCCGTTGGACTCAACTTGCATTACGGCCCCAACCCCTGTTTGATCTCGTCTGTCTAAGATCAATTCACAACGTGGGTAGGCAGACTGGGGATCAGTGCAGTTACCCTGGTAACCAGGCGTTGGAAGCGGGTTGGGAACGGCGAAGCTGGTATCAATCTAACCAAAGGGTTAGAACGTCACGTTTGTAGCAGCGAGGAGCGAACAGCTGACGCCGCGGCGAAGACGTCACAGTTGGTGCTGTCCGATATCAGAGCCTGGGGAGCACGTGACGTCACAATTGGCGCCGCGACCGGGATCGAACGACACAGTCGATGCCTCGACCGGGGGACGACGTCACATAATAGTAACTGTGAAAAATTAACGGCTTTGCTCTTTGAATTTTCTGATGAATCTTAATCCTTGATGAATAAATACAATCCTTTCATATTCCGTGACTTTAAAATACCAATTAAATATTCGATCATAAGGACTTTAACAAAATATTATTGTTATGCATTCACTCCAACGGATGCACAGGATTGCCTCATCAGTGATGTTATGACTTGGGGTCATGACAAGTTTTGGGTGTTTTAACATCATACCTGTTTACCCAAGTGACCCTACCAAAACAATACCTATTCTGGGAGGTGATCATGAAGCAAATATATACCAAGCATGCAACAATGGACATATAAAGAATTGCTACTGGTGATCTTTAAATAGCAAGTGACCAATTAAAAATGCCCTATGGTCACTTCTTCCTCAGCAAAGTTGAGACAAAATAAAAGAACAAAGTGAATGCTCGTCTTTTCCATCTTAAGTCCAACACGTGGAAAGACCCACACTCCCAACAAACACCACTTGACATAACAGGTAAGTAATTTCTACTTGTCCCCAGGAAAGGTTTTAATCTCCTATGAAACTATACTTCACTAAAAAAATACTCATACATATTCGCTGATCATAGGTCAGAAACGATTTTTATTTTCTTTCTCTTCTTTCTCCCCCTTCTCCTTCACCTTTCTTATTGGACGGAGAAAAAAAAGCAAGAAATCACCTGTACTAGAAACACCAAAACGTCGTCGGGGAATAGGTTAAAAAAAACAGAAGAAAAAGCCCCCCCCCTAAAACAGCGACCGTGGTCATTTCTCTGTATATTTCTATCTTTCCTTTTTTTTAACAATCATAAATATAAAAGCAGGTCATTATCTACAGAATTAAGTGGGTACAAATAAAAGTATTCAAAAATTGAATATATTTTCATTTCACTGAATCAGACGTTAAAGATATGAGAGTTTTAACGCCTGCTCTAACTTCACTTTCTTTCTTCCTTTCTTTTTTTCTTTCTTTCTCTAAGACCAAAGAGTGCTCAGGTTGAAACTAGTAAAACAATACAAAGGAGAAAAATGCTAGATATATTCTTAATTATCGTGTGAATGTTTGTTGGAAACAAGATTATGAAGAGATCTTTCCCCTTGCCGTTCATTTGACTCAATAAGTCATTAACCTTCAGCAATGGACCAATGCGAGCTGGTAGATGTTTACGGCACCTAGTATTTCCATGAGGTCACCTATCTAGGTGTTGACCAGTCTAAACGTTGCTTAACTTCGGTGATCGGACGAGAACCGGTGTTTCAATGCAATATGGCCGTAAGTTGTTCTCCGTATTCGCTATTCTATTAACATTACTTTCACTTCTTCTTAGCCATTAATAATTCATTTTGGCTTGATTCTCAATTTATTTCTATGAGCAAAAGCAGCAGTAAACGCATAATGGCCTAATTCTTTGTTTAATTCTTGCAATATTTCCTGGCCACTGCCAATAACTTTCTTTTTTATTTTCGATGCCAATTCTGTCAGTAATGCTTACAATAATTCCTGATTATAGACAATCCCTTTCTTCTTGATCTTCTATAAGTTTCTATCTTAAAATCAGTTGAACAACACATTTCGCTACCATGTGCTTAGCAAACGTCTTTAGGTCGGAATGAAAGACAATTGTCTCTTCTTCTCAAACAGCTTCTTCTCCCGCACTTCCCGTCTGTGGGACTCCCTTCCCCTTACTTGCTTCCCCGATGACTATAATCTACAAATATTCAAGTGTAATGTCAATCGACATCTGAGACCCCTGAGCTTGTTCCTCGTCCTTCTCTGTATCCTTTCCTTAAACAGGCTTCTTTACTCTTGTTCTCAATCCTCTGTAACCCTCTGCATGCTAGTGGCACTCCCGGCTTGCTTGGGGTGAATTTCCTTAAAAAAACATTGTGTGACCAGCACATTTTCAATGTATAGTCTTCAGAATAAATTCTTTTATTTTCTGATCAGACTCGTATTGATTAGATCAAACTTATGGTCAGATGTTTTCTGTGTCAGCATCGCAATTATATGCAACATAATAACGCTGAGGATGCGTCCTGGGTATGACGATAAACTACACCGCGCCCTGGGTATGACGATAAACTACATCCGCGTCCTGGGTATAACGATAAACTACATCCACGTCCTGGGTATGACTATAAACTACATCTGCATTCTGTGTATGGCGATAAACTACATCCGCTCCCTGGGTAAGTACGATAAACTACATCCACGTCCTGGGTAAGACGATTAATTTCATCCGTGTCCTGAGTATGACGATAAACTACATCCACATCGTGTGTATGGCGATAAACTACATCCACGTCCTGGATATGACAATAAACTACATCCGTATACTGGGTAAGACGATAAACTACCTCCAACAGCAAGCCCTCTGATAATACGCTTTTGAAAAAATAATGTTGCCAACTGTACCTTTTTGAAAAAAAATATTACCAGCTATACGCTTTTGAAAAAATATTATCAGTTATACGTTTTTGAGAAAAACAATTAACAGAAATGGATTTTTGACAAAACAAAAATATTATCAGAAAAAAAAAGTTGTCGGCATTAAATGACCCATTGTGGTTGATATACCGTAACCCCCCCAAAAAAAAAAACAAACACTAAGAATGAGGAAAATAACTTCGGCACCAACTTCAAATGTATACCTAGCGCAGTTAAGAGAAAATTGTAATGATAAAATAAATAATTGTCTTCACTCTGCTAGTAAGGAGATGGGCGCGTATCAAATCTGTCACATCCCAATACGTGCCAAAGACAGAAATGCCCGACTTTTAGTGGAAGCGAAAGTGAGAAGGAGAGATTTGCCTTCAAGAATCTTCTCTCACAGTTCGAAATTTGCCTTTCAGGCGTAGGGTTCAAAGGCAGCGAAACTGCATTGTTTGAGGGACTGCTTAGCTGATTATGCCTTACAATTAATTCAGAATCTCATTGTCAATGAAAAGAACTATGATATGGATGCAAATATATTGAAAGAAGAATTATTGAATATCAGTTTCATTATCAATGAAATCATCCGGCAAATAGATGAAGCCAAACCCTCGTTAGTCTCTGAATTCGGCGGTGTCAAGCACTATTTGACAACAATCAAGGCTTTTCACTACGAACTAAGGAACTCATTTAAACTGGATTTTATGGGAGTTGCCCCGGGAAACAAATATCTGAGTTTTCCCATTTGTTCAATGCTTCTCAGTACGCTGAAGAAAGAGGTGATTCATACGCTAGGAATAAATTATCTCACATTGGAACAAATTCTTTACAATTACAATGAGGTGATAAAACTTTCATAATTACTAGAAATAAAACTAACAATAATATTAATAATATTTTCCCCAAGAGACAAATTCCTTCAGAGAGACATAGGCAGATTGACAAACCTATTTCAGCATTAGATCATTTTAATACTCAAATTGACGTTCAAATATTGTTTCTGCTCAATCGAGTGCCCATTGTCCCAAGGTTACATCCGGGGAATCTCAAGTCGCCAGATATAAAGAGAAGAAACAGATGATTTTTATCTTCAGTTCTAGACAAAAATAGCATTGAATAGAAAACTAACGGGGATGAATTACCACATAAATGTAAATTTTGTAGTTTTATTTTTGTTATGGATTAAAGAGTACACCACCGTCCAATATGATAAAGAATTAAGTGGTATGAGGTCGATGGTAGTAGTCGTATCTGCGTCAGGCAGTTCGCTGCCAGGTGCGCGACAGGCTTTTCGAACCCTCTGCCTTTGAGCAGGGAGGAACCCAGAAAACACTATGCCTAAGGACAGAGGCACGTTTGAAGAGGTATGCTGTGTCGGAATCGTCCCACATAAAAAAAAAATCGACCTTTGCACCACATTCTCATTTCTGGGATGGCTATGGTAAATACCAGTAGTCGCATTTGCGTCAGACAGTTCTCTGCCAGGCGCGCGACAGGCTTGTCGAACTTTCTGTCTTCGGGCAGAGAGGAAGCCAAACGAGGCTATGCCAAAGGGCAGAGTCTTGTCTGAGGAGGTACACAAACCCAACCCCGTGTATGCGAGATCTACGCGGAATTTTTTCACGATTTTACGAGCTCAGAATCGTCCCAGATAAATAATCAGCCTTGTGCCACATCCTGCCTTGTGGAGATTATTGTGTAAATACCAGTCGTATTTGAGTCAGACTGTTCACTGCCAGGTTTGCGACAGACAAGACCTCTGTCTTCAGGCAGAGGGTGACGCAGCCGGGGCTCTGTCATTGGAGACTCAGCTGAGAAAAACAGATGTGTAATGTACCTGTGGAGGGGCGGTGGAGTAATGGATAGCGGCTCGGATTTCAGTCAAATCCATTACATTCACTTACGCGCTAATACGTTTTGAGAACGATATGAATCCTCTTCTTTTCCCCCCAGCTATGGGTAAATAGTGAACAGGCCAGATTCTATAGCCTTGTATAGCAACTGGTCTATCGCAAAAAGAAATGGCAACATACTGCGGGAAAAATATGCCTCATCAATCATGTATCGAAAAATACATAATCGCCTTATCGTGTATCACGCATGACACATAACTGACTGAATGTACCCGTGTTCGCTTTCACGGGGGCTGGGTAAATTTTGACCAATGACCCGGGTGAAAACACTCTGATTACCCACAATAATCCCGACTTTGTGTTGCTATTCATCTCAGTTAGGAGACTGAGTAGATACCAGTAGTCATATTGGAGTCAGGCAGTACACTGCCAGGATCACCACAGACAAGCCTGTCTTCGGGCAGAGGGGGACATTAGTGTCAGTCTTCATACTAACTACACAGGTATTACGACAATCGCCTAAGATTACGTATAGAGAATACTTTAATGAATTATGTTATACCAAGTACGAGTGTGTGTCATAACAATAACCTTACAATAGAAAATTATTATAGTAATAAAATAATTTACTGAAACCTGAAACTTATCCCCCGACATGCAAAGGAGTGGATAGGGGTGGGGGTCAACTGAAAGGAAAAGAAAACCGGATTTTTTTTAATTCTACAATAAATTGTTTTGATAAACGTCACTTTTTAAATATTTGATGAAAAACACGAATCCGGGTAGCAGTTACCTTCCAGCCATGAACTATATAAATTATACGATATTTTCGTTCTGTAGTTCCACATGGTCATTGACATTTCATGAAACTCTGAGTAGCAGATTTGATATTACTATTATTACAAGGTAACCAAATAAGTTCTGTCCGTTTTTTGATTAGTCATTAAATGAAGTTGAAATATATACGAAATGCGTGTAGCAATTGTTTTCAAATTAAGACATCCGGAAGTAGGAACATCAGACGTTATAAAAAAACACGCGCACCGTGCCCGGCCATCAGTTATAAGCCGGACAGCTGTGAGAAGGATGGAAGTGTCTAGAGATCTCGTTCTTGGCTCTTTACGGCTTCAAAGTGGGCTTATCAGCAACTGCATCAAGTCGCCACATACGTCAAGCGTTTGGGGATAGTGCTGTGGATGAACCTTACTGCAAGGCGTTGGTTTCGAAAATTCAAGTCGGGAGATTTGTCTCTCCATGATGAGCCTCGCAGTGAACGACCACATGTCTTGAATGACGGAGTCCTGAAGGCGGCCATTGAAGAGCTTGTATTATTATATATTAGGCTCAGTCGATATTTAGCATTCAACACACAGTTTATTTAATATTTTTTACCTTTTGGCTTATTTTAAGCTTTAGATTTTATTCTTATTACTCGTGTGTCACTGGACCCGTTAAACATTTTTACGTACTAAAGTAAACATTCGAATTTGCAGTTTTTTTCTGTACCCAATCATGACCACCGGCATGGAACAATTCAACTTGAGCTATTCAGCTAAGAACGTTATGCAAGAGATAGAATATAAAATCAGAATATTACAAAAAACAGAAAGCATCATGGGAAGAATGAGAGGAGGGAAATTGTTTTCCAACACTCATCTTAATGAAAGAAATAAAAAAATAAAAGACAATGGATTCAGATCTTGTAAACCTCCTCTAAAGGATGAAAGATTGCTACATTTTGAAAAGGATGTGAAAAAAGCTGAAATATATAAACAACAAATTACGGAAGAATATGAAAGAAGATGTACAAAAAATTCTGATAGTTAGGGCAGATAAAACCAGCGATTATTATAAAATGAGGGCGAATGATTTGAAAAGAGGCCATGCACTATGAAGTAACAAAAAGTTACAAAAACGCTCTACAGAATGGGAGAATAACATTAATATGAAAGGCAAAATAGTCAAAGAAAAATTAAGCATCGGAAATGGA